CTGTTTACAAAGCCATAGTCAGGTGAGGATCAAGGGTTTTAATATATAATTTAATAAAATAATATTAATCAGCTGATTGTCTCACAAACGTAACCAGCAGCACATTTCTCCCCACATACTGTAGCAAACCATAATACAGCGAGGGAGCAGCTATATATTTTTTCTAACAGGGTAGTAATAGTTTAGCTGGCTAAATATGAGCTGTTACTGTGGCTGAGCTGGGACTCGTCCGCATGAGTCCAAAGGTCGGAACTGCGCGCGCTGTTACAATCATGTCATCTCCGCATCCCATAGATACTATTTACTACACACAATAGGCTTTTTTTCTCTGATTTTGAAAAATCTTCGCGTCGACTTTAGTGATAAAAGACTTTAGTAAAAGTCTCTATCGATGGGTTAGTGATTCCTGTAACGTACTGTTTTACGGTCAATGACATGAAATACTAATCATCAGCTGTCTCACGAACGTAACAGCACATCTATCCCCAACATAACAAACCCATAACACAGCGAGGGAGAACTAAGTTACATGAAACAATCCCAACTACATATTTTACACCACTCACAAGGGAAAAGTCACTACTCACGGAGTGTAAGGCTAGCTTCCAGCTTTCCGCTACTTCTCTTTCAAGGTAGTGATGAAACGCGTTCTGTAGCGCTGTTTGTTCGCGTTCGGCTACGGTAGGAATATGACGTCACAACATGGCGACCTTCATAGAAGGGGATTCCCGCGGTTATGGAGCTATTAATGTCTCATTCTAAGGTAATAAAAACATTACGGCTAATTAAGTAAGTTCTTTATACACCACTGAAAACATAGTTATGGATGTCATATTGCATTTCTGTTAATAGATACTCAACTTTGTTACACATTGCACCTTTAAGGCGTTAGTGTGCTTATTTATCCCCCTCTGCACCGGTAACAGTGGAAAGAATGCACTAAAAATTTACCTCTTTAAGCTTCAGTGACCACAATTAAATCCACACTTTTTAACATCACTATTTAACAAACTAACAGTATGAAAAGTTAACATTTCTTCTTTTATAACCCACCACTAAACTTATTGATTTCAAACACAAATGACCAGTATTTCACTAGCCTATTATGGCTAATTATCTTATTAACATATACACACTGTAGGCTTTACACTTTTAGCTTTACACAAAGAACACCTTTGCATTGATTCACACATTGACACAATTAACACAAATGCTAGCGATCTCAGAGTAAACTCAGTAGGCTATGTTAAATACAAAAAAAATGGCCATCAAAAGCCTGGCCTGTTAGCATGAATATTAGCGAACTCAGATGCCTAGATAAACAACTCACCATTTTAACGGAATCCATTGCCTTTAGCTCCGTGACAACAGTGGATACAGGCACAGCTTTCGTTTACACTCTATATTACAACAAGGTATAATCAGCATAAGCAATAATGAACTTAATTTGCTCTATGTTTTTTGTCTTTCATCTTACCAAGCAGATAACGCAGCCTTCTATGCTCAAGTGCAAGCGCCAAAAGAACGTGCAGTGACGCGAAACTAGAGGTGTAACTGTAACAAAGCCTAGCGGGCAGCTGATTGGTCCGCTCACTATCTCACAGAGCTCACCCATTTGCTCACTTACATGTCCATCAAAGAGAAGAAATAAAAGTTAACCCTTTTGTGACTGGGTCAGACGGCTAAATAGTGTTTCTCATTATTAAGCCTGGCTACATATGTATGATATGTATGCATACACATTTACTAATTGTTTATGTATTTGTATTGTGTAAAATAACAATGAACAGCAGAACTCAGTTTACACACATGTTTTTATTAATTCTTATTAAAAAGGACTATCAACTATTTCAATACGTCTGTCGAATTACTTTCAGGAAACTTAGTATAAATAATGACAATATGCATTTGATCAAATGTTACAGTAAAAAGTAAAAACAAGATATTTAATGTTAAATATTGAAAGTTACTACTATTGTAAAAAATCACACGGTCATTGTAAATATCTAATATTATTATGCATATACTTGTATACTGTACATTCACTCCTCAAGAAACATCGGCCCCTGGTAACCATAAAACAGCAATTGATGCTTCCTGAGAAGGTGAGTGGCACAACAGTATCCCAAATGTGGTTTTCCTTGACCCTTCGAATTACCCTTTCCACCAGAATTCTGAGGCGTGCAATGGCCTGTGTTTTTTCACAGTCCTGTTTGCTGAACTGCTTAGCACGCTTGAAAGGTGGAACCATCAGTCTAGCACCAACACTGGAGAGCATATCCTTGATTGTGAATCCTTTGTCTGCCATGACCTCATCTCCAGGTTCAAGCACGTCCAAAATGCCGGACTTCTTTGTGATCTCTTTGTCGGAGATTGAACCTGTGTAAAGCTGGGAGATGAAAGTCATTGCACCACATTGAGCTACTCCAACCAGACCTTTAAATGTTGTAGTGCCCTTGTAGCTGGAGAAGATCTCTGAGTGGAGTGTCAGAGATGTGGGGCTTTCACAGCGGACTTCTGTGCAGGATGACTCGCGGTTTTGGACAGAACAAACTGTACTTCTTAGGCATGGAGGAGCATATTTGTTGCCTGGACATCCAAATGGGTACTGAACCCAACACAAAGAACAGGTAGTTAGCCCAGGTGATAATGGCCCTACTCGCCGTGGCCACGCTTACCCCGAAAATGTCAGCGATTACTTGTTCCCTCAGTCCAGCAGCTACTCGACAGGAATACATGAACAGTTCATCTATGAGCTGGATCTTCCATGCAGGGCTGGGCTTGGGGATGCTTCCTGTCCCATCCTCTGTGCCTTAGTCCAGTACACAAGATTGCTGGCCGATGGACAAACAGACTCCCAGAACACCTGGAAAACTTCCTGTGAGGGAAACGTTGTATAGTATTTGATTGTGTGATCTCAAGTGACATTTTCTTCAGTCTAGCCTCCAGTTCTTCGATGTACTGCAGAGCCTCATCTAATGCACCTATAAAAATGTAAATAATATAGTTAGCAACTAATTAAGCTGTTTTTTTTGGGTTTTTTTTTTTTATATTTCATGTCACAGCACAGTCTACACTGTTTTTTCACACAAGCAAAATTTAACACAAGTACTTACCGGCAGGTGGGCGTGCCGCGTAGTCATGTTCCTCAACATGACTGGATTCAGTGGGTGCATCTTCTGAGACCACCGGTTGCTCCTGAACACGTACATCCACGCCAAGTCGAACGGCAGATCTCTCAAAAGCTGACAGCCTTTGAGGGGGTACATAGAAATTGTTCCAAGGGAAACGACTGGGAATGGCTCCAACCTTCAGCCGCGAACTTCCTGGAATGTAGTCGGCAGCGGTAAAATGCTGACTGCAGACATACTGAGTGCTGCCTCTCCGAATGACGAACGTAGACCCTTCGTCCTGTCTAATAGCGATAACCCATTTCTTTTTTTGGTCTTCATTCAAAGGATACCCGTGAAAAGATAAATAAGGTTGTTTTTGCTTAGAATTGCTGCACTGAAGGACACTACAGCAACACTTATTCTTGGACTCGGCCATTGTTGTTATCACCGGAAGTAAGTTTACCCGGCGTCGGTGAGCACCGGAAACACAAAACCCGGAGGTGTGAAAAAGGCCTATTCCATTCATTTTGCTAAGCTAAGCTAGCGGCGACCCTGCCAAACTAAAACAATGCATGCACTGAGACAAAAATGCGTTTGCCCACCTATCTTAAAGAATTAGTTCACTTTTGAAAAAACTTTTGCTGATAATTTACTCACCCCCATGTCATCCAAGATGTCCATGTCTTTCTTTCCTCAGTCGAAAAGAAATTTAGGTTTTTGATGAAAACATTCCAGGATTTTTCTCCATATAATGGACTTCAATGGGAACCGGACGGTTCAGGGTCCAAACGACAGTTAATAACTGTTTCAGATGCAGCTTCAAATGTCTTTAAACGATATCAGATGATGAATAAGGGTCTTATCATGCGAAACGATCGGTTATTTCAAAACTTATTCCAAAAATGTAACTTTTCTAAGGACAAATGCTAGCCTTATAATATATTGTGAGGCGCGTTTGCAACGTCACGTAATACGTAATTACATTCAAGAGGTCACGGGCGACGTAGCCGGAAGTACAGAATCAAAATCGTCCGACATCGTTGTTTTACCTTTTAATTCCTTTTTTGTAAACGGCGTTTGAGTTAGTTTTCACGTTCAACCTATGCGTTTAACTTGTAAACACTGACTCTGTACTTCAGGCTACGTCGCCCGTGACCTTTTGAACGTAATTACGTATTACGTGACGTTGCAAACGCGCCTCAGAGAATGGAGAAAGGCTAGCATTTGTCCTTAGAAAAGTTACATTTTTGGAATAAGCTTTGAAATAACCGATCGTTTCGCATGATAAGACCCTTATTCATCGTCTGGTGTCGTTTAAAGACATTTGAAGCTGCATCTGAAACTGGTATAACTGTCGTTTGGACCTGGTTCCCATGGAAGTCCATTATATGGAGAAAAATCCTGGAATGTTTTCATCAAAAACCTAAATTTCTTTTCGACTGAGGAAAGAAAGACATGGACATCTTGGATGACATGGGGGTGAGTAAATTATCAGCAAAAGTTTTTTCAAAAGTGAACTAATCCTTTAATGTAGGAAAGACAGCGAATAAGCCGTATTTATAAAAAACGGTGGAGTGTTCCTTTAATCAGCATGTCCTTTTGTTTTAGTTGTCTGTTAGGATGTCTGGTAATTTCCTAGTTCCTCCTGTTTTTGATGCCATTGAAACTGTTCCTGGAAATGACGTCCATGTGCTTCTTACGTTTTAAACAAACCCTTGTCCTTTCTCTGACTTTTATGCATATTAGAAGACAAATATTCAACGTTTTTGTCTTCTGGCTTCGGCCCAAAACTTTTCAACTCTTTTCAACTTTTCTACCTAACCTGACAATAAAAAATAAAAAAATATGATGGGTGTCAAATTTCCCACCGTAAAAAACAAACAATGAACAAAACTGCATTTGTATTAACTAACTTTACCAAAAATAAAATGAAGTAAGAAATATCTTGTCCAGTGGGAGTTAAAATGTCAACTAATGTTAACAAATGAAACTGTATTGCAAATATTGTGAATTACAAATATAGTGAATGTAAAAATGAAAAAAAAAAAAAAAAAAGATATGGTCAAATCATCTGATCTGTGCATTAGGACTTGCAGTGTAAACGCAGCCTAAGTGGTTTCTCCACTGCATGGACCTTCATGTGAATCTCCACGTAGCGTTTCAAAGCAAAACTCTTTCCACACTGATCACACGTGTGCGGCTTCTCTCCAGTGTGGATCATCTCATGTGTTTTCAGATATGATGACTGACTGAATCTCCTGTCACAGTGTGAACACTTGTAAGGTTTTTCTCCAGTGTGGATCTTCTCATGTGTTTTCAGAGTTGATGTCTGACTGAATCTCTTGTCACAGTGTGAACACTTGTAAGGTTTTTCTCCAGTGTGGATCCTCTCATGTGTTTTCAGATGTTGTGACTGATTGAATCTCTTGTCACAGTGTGAACACTTGTAAGGTTTTTCTCCAGTGTGGATCATCTCATGTGTTTTCAGATTTGTTGACAGACTGAATCTCTTGTCGCAGTGTGAACACTTGTAAGGTTTTTCTCCAGTGTGGATCCTCTCATGTGATTTCAGATGTTGTGACTGATTGAATCTCTTGTCACAGTGTGAACACATGTAAGGTTTTTCTCCAGTGTGAATCCTCTGGTGTATGATTAAATCTTTCCCTGTTGCAAAAGTCTTCTCACACTCAAAGCACATGTACTCTCTCACAGCAGTGTGTGTTTTCTGATGTGCATGTAAATATTGCAGATGTGAAAAACTCTTTCCACACACAGAACATGAATGCGGCTTCTCCTTCATATGAACTGTCAGGTGTTTCTTCAGGTTTGATGACCCAATAAATGTTTTACCACACTGATCACATGAGAACGGCTTCTCTCCGGTGTGGATCATCATGTGAACATTAAGGGAAGATGAATGACTGAAACTCTTCCCACATTGATCACATGAGAACGGCTTCTCTCCGGTGTGGATCCTCATGTGAGTCTCAAGATATTGTTTGGTTGTGAGACTCTTTCCACACTGAGTGCAGGTGAAAGATTTCTTGGCTCTTCTTTTCTTTAAAAATGTCTTTTTAGTCTTTGAACGACTCAAAGTTTTTTCTCCAGGTTTGACATGATGTTCCTCCTTCACTTCTCTCAGTTCTTCTCTCTCCTCGCTCTCTTCCATCAGGTCTGAAATTAAAAAAAAGGTGTAATTTTCAGTACATCAAATTCATTCTAAGAGAGGAATATGAAATGAGGATATAAGTAATGTAATAGACAACTGCTATTAAATATAATGATCACTTTGTTACATTTTGACAAAGATAAAACGTAATAAATGAATTCCATGCTCCTGTATTTATTTTACTAAAGACTGTAATACCTGAGGGCCGGTCACACTGGACTGTTTTTGTTCCACTGACTTCCATTCAAACGCAAGATCAAGTGATTTCTTTTTTTTTTTTAATTATTATTAGAATTATTGGTAGGGCTTTAGATTCTAAAAAGTTCTAAAATACTTACAGTACAAATCATTTGTTAATCCTCCTGGTTGTTCCCCCTTTATTTCCAAAACCTTACATATTGTTCCCTTATACTTACACGCAAGAACTTTATAGGTACGCTATAATTACAGAAAGTTACACTGTAAATTCATCATTTAAATTCATCATCTTGGTATATTCCAACATGGCTGCAAAAAAAAAATGTGAACCACAAACCAGAGCTAAAATTATACTTGGTTTGACTTGAAAATGCAGTACCTATTCGATAGTGTAACTGCATATTCAAAATTGATGAAGAGCTTGAATGTTTGTAACATGAATGTTCTCCAGCATCATGAATGAATGAAGAATAAACACCAACCTCTTTGTTCTTCAGGATCTTCAGTGTGTTTAATTCTGCAGGGTTCTGGATCACTCATGTTCTCACTGTCCTCTTTAATAAACTCAGTCTTTGCAGATTTCAGCTCTTCCTGATGCTCCGATGCTCGTCTTCACTTGAAGCTGGTGGGAATTTACAGCATTTATAGGAGAATTACAGTGGGAGGAGCTTCACTGATAACGTTATTGTTGTGGGAGGAGCTTCACTGATGATGTGACTGCAGTGGGAGGAGCTGATCTGCCAAAATCAAAAATATATCAGTTAGTGAGTTTGTTTTTATACTAAATGGCACTTCTAAGCATTTATATCTGTCTGTCTATCATAAAGTAACTGATGCTCATTAAACTCATAACCCTAAAATGATTCTCCTTCATCCAGCGCATGAATTGCTGTGTCACTTTCTTTAAAATCAATCGTGAAGTCTTGGGGATTTGATGCCAGAAAATATACTTTATTATCCAAGTAACAAAGCCAAAAGCAACTCCAGAGTCCAGTCTCGAACATGCAGTATAGTCTACACCTCAAATGTAAATCACATATCCCAGCGTGAAATAGACAGCCGTGAGTGTTGTATAATAACCAGCAGGAAAGCTAAAGTTATTGAATGTTTTTTATAGTATAAAATATGCAAAAGCACAATTGATCAAACTAAGTGTTTAGACCAGTAGGGGACCATTGATGTGTGAACTGAATTTGGTTACACTACAATGTTTAACATTGAAGTTAATGACTATTTATATTGTAGCCTAATGCTTTTTGGGGTTTGGCACTTTGCAGATTTTCCCCCATCTCCGTCGCTCAAAGAGATCATTTGGAAATAGCTAAAAGTTTAGCTCAAGGATCAGTGAATAGACTATATTACCAACTTTACTGAACTCCATGAACATTGTTATCTAAGAGAGCTCTTCTTTACCAATGAAATGAGCTTTAAGTGTCAATTTACAGGAGATCTGAACACATCAGCATAATAAATGAGGTGAAAACAGGAACTATTGTCATGAAATAAAGAGTGTTTTCAGCAGATCTGTTAATATTGATGTTCCTCAGACTATCAACACTCATTCAACAAGCCATTCAGGACCATCAGCAGATCACCTCACTTTATTCTGAGTGTTTGCTGTTGGAAACATATTATTTGAGTCAGGATAGACGATACAAGCCTATAAAACTGCTCAATCAGAAAACTTGATGAAGTTTGATTTTATGAAATACATTCATCACAATAAAGTAATTCGATCATTAAAATGTGCAGAAACTGAAAACACGTTTAAATATAAAGAGCACAAGAAACAATATTATTCCAAGTGTAATAGATACAATGTTATTTATGTATGGATTAAAAATGTCTCACGTGACTCATAGCCTCGATGTAAAGTATTTAGCAGTATCTGTTGAACTTTATTTTTTTTTTAACAATGTAAAGTAACAAACGTAATCCAAATGTGTCAAGAGTATAAAATGGAAACTGACCATTAGAGTTTAAACAGCCCTAATGCGAATCAATGACAGCAGCAGTACCATCCGTACTAGACGTGTCACACAAAACATAAAAATTAATAAACCGAACTTAAAAAAAAGACAAGAGGAAGAAGGGTTACATGTTAAAAACAAGTCACAACCTTCAAACGAAGTAAGTCATACTGACCTACCTCTAGAGCTGATAAGTCCCGCCCCTTCCACTAACCCCGTTGGACCTCTAGGTTGAAAAATCGTCAATGCAAGTGAATGAGAGAAAATAATTATTTTCTAATCCCATTTGAATTTTGCAATGAATGTGAACATATGTTGTCTGTGAATTTCTTATATAATTTCTCGTTTAAAGGGAACCCCGACTAGTGAGGCATGTTGGCCTTATAAGATTAACGAGGGCGTCAGAAATAAAAAGGTGATACAAAAATGTTTTTGATTTTATTAAAAAAAGTCGAAAATCCATTCACTCGTAGTCCATTTACGTCTCAATGCATTCTGGGTAGTGACATGTAAAGGTTGTTGCCAGCCCAGTTTTGACAGTAGCGAGATGAACACGTCTGCCGTTCAGCCTTTTCAGTTTGAACCCGAGCGCACGGTAGGCTTAAATCAAGAGAATAACGCGGGAAAAAACGACAGGCATACTCAAGAGTTAAGGCCATTGCACACTGAGTACGAAATTTTCGTATGCGTATTTTCTTGTTCGTCAGCCTAAAAATTCGTCACGCATAGAAACCTTGCACACCGAGTCCGTTGCGTATTTATTAAACCTTTGCGGGGAAAAACGCAAAAATACCAAATGGATTCGTCAAGCAGTGAGGATGATTTTTAGAAAAAATTAGAAAATATTACGTCCATCCAATCCTGAAATTGCGCAGAGAGGAAGGAGAGTTCCACCTTATCAAGGAGTTGCGAATTTATCCGATTATCCGAATTTAGCGATTCAAAATGTACCTCAGAATGTCAGTGGGACAGTTTGATGCTTTGCTAGCGATTCTGGAGCCACATATTAAAAACAAGACCACCAATTTCCGTGAACCAATCAATTCTGAACGGAGACTGGCAGTGTGTCTGGTATGGACCAGGTATGGACACACACACAAACACACAAACACACACACACCCGCGCGCGGCCCGGTGGAAGCGCTGGGCAGACAGAACAGCTAGGCTGTTATTGTGTATATATTGTGCCCAAATAATACATTAGTTATCGAATAGGCTGCTCAATCACACCTTATTCGATCTTAAATTTCAATCTGATTGAAAGGGGAGGTTTATTAATTTCATTAATTTCCGAGTCAAGACCTAGACCATAGAAGGTAGAGTCCGAGTCGAGACCGAGACCAAAGAGAGTCGAGTCCGAGTCGAGACCAAAGAGAGTCGAGACCGAGACCAAAGAGAGTCGAGACCGAGACCAAAGAGAGTCCAGTCCGAGTCGAGACCGAGACCAAAGAGAGTCGAGACCGAGTCGAGACTGAGACTATAGAGGGTCGAGTCCGAGTCGAGACTGAGACCATAGAAGGTAGAGTCCGAGTCGAGACCATAGAAGGTAGAGTCCGAGTCGAGACCGAGACCATAGAAGGTAGAGTCCGAGTCGAGACCGAGACCAAAGAGAGTCGAGTCCGAGTCAAGACCTAGACCATAGAAGGTAGAGTCCGAGTCGAGACCGAGACCAAAGAGAGTCGAGTCCGAGTCAAGACCTAGACCATAGAAGGTAGAGTCCGAGTCGAGACCGAGACCATAGAAGGTAGAGTCCGAGTCGAGACCGAGACCATAGAAGGTAGAGTCCGAGTCGAGACCTAGACCATAGAAGGTAGAGTCCGAGTTGAGACCGAGACCAAAGAGAGTCCAGTCCGAGTCGAGACCGAGACCAAAGAGAGTCGAGACCGAGACAAAGAGAGTCCAGTCGAGTCGAGACCGAGACCAAAGAGAGTCGAGTCCGAGACTATAGAAGGTCGAGTCCGAGACCATAGAAGGTAGAGTCCGAGTCAAGACCGAGACCATAGAAGGTAGAGTCCGAGTCGAGACCGAGACCAAAGAGAGTCGAGACCGAGACTATAGAGGGTCGAGTCCGAGTCGAGACTGAGACCATAGAAGGTAGAGTCCGAGTCGAGACCATAGAAGGTAGAGTCCGAGTCGAGACCGAGACCAAAGAGAGTCGAGTCCGAGTCAAGACCTAGACCATAGAAGGTAGAGTCCGAGTCGAGACCGAGACCAAAGAGAGTCGAGTCCGAGTCAAGACCTAGACCATAGAAGGTAGAGTCCGAGTCGAGACCGAGACCATAGAAGGTAGAGTCCGAGTCGAGACCTAGACCATAGAAGGTAGAGTCCGAGTTGAGACCGAGACCAAAGAGAGTCCAGTCCGAGTCGAGACCGAGACCAAAGAGAGTCCAGTCCGAGTCGAGACCGAGACCAAAGAGAGTCGAGACCGAGTCGAGACCGAGACCATAGAAGGTAGAGTCCGAGTCAAGACCGAGACCATAGAAGGTAGAGTCCGAGTCGAGACCGAGACCAAAGAGAGTCGAGACCGAGACTATAGAGGGTCGAGTCCGAGTCGAGACTGAGACCATAGAAGGTAGAGTCCGAGTCGAGACCTAGACCATAGAAGGTAGAGTCCGAGTCGAGACCGAGACCAAAGAGAGTCGAGTCCGAGTCGAGACCGAGACCAAAGAGAGTCGAGTCCGAGTCGAGACCGAGACCAAAGAGAGTCCAGTCCGAGTCGAGACCGAGACCAAAGAGAGTCGAGACCGAGTCGAGACCGAGACCAAAGAGAGTCCAGTCCGAGTCGAGACCGAGACCAAAGAGAGTCGAGACCGAGACTATAGAGGGTCGAGTCCGAGTCGAGACCGAGACCAAAGAGAGTCGAGACCGAGACTATAGAGGGTCGAGTCCGAGTCGAGACCGAGACCATAGAAGGTAGAGTCCGAGTCGAGAACGAGACCATAGAAGGTAGAGTCCGAGTTGAGACCGAGACCATAGAGGGTCGAGTCCGAATCGAGACCGAGACCAAAGAGAGTCGAGTCCGTTTCAATCAAACAACAATTTAAAGAAATATTAACATACAATAATAATCATGAGGTATTTTGAATGGGACTCGAGTAGACTCGTGAATAAGTCCAAGTCCCGACTCCCAATATGTTCGATTACGAGTCAATTCCGAGTCAAAATGCACACGAGTCCATGACGAGACCGAGACCACTCATGTACTCGAGACTTGAGAACAAAACACTGATATCTGCCTAGGAAATCGCCTAGTCTTAATCTGCATTGCTATTTGTACTTGTTGTGAATACGCAGGCCACAAGAAGTAAATAGTTTTTTAAATAATTTTTACTCAGCACATGCTAGCTGGCAACAAAGGATTCCATTCATTTTGCTAAGCTAAGCTAGCGGCGCCCCTGCTAAACTAAAACAATGCATGCACTGAGACAAAAATGCATTTGCCCACCTATCTGAATGTAGGAAAGACAGCGAATAAGCCGTATTTATAAAAAACGGTGGAGTGTTCCTTTAATCAGCATGTCTTTTGTTTATTTTCAGTTTGTTTTAGTTGTCTGTTAGGATGTCTGGTAATTTCCTAGTTCCTCCTGTTTTTGATGCCATTGAAACTGTTCCTGGAAATGACGTCCATGTGCTTCTTACGTTTTAAACAGACCCTTGTCTTTTCTCTGACTTTCATTCTCATGCATATTAGAAGACAAATATTCAACTTTTTATTATAGTTTATTTCAGTTTACAGCTGGATCTGAACTCGGTCTTCTGGCTTCGGTCCAAACTTTTCAACTCTGAGTGACTTTAACAAAGAACTGCTGACTTTCTACTAACAGAAGCAAGCGGCCACACTGGATTTTCTTCATTTTCGGCAGCAGTGTTTACCAATAGCGAAACTATGTTTATCTTCACCTCGCTAGTGAGAAATGGCTTTTTAAGTTGCTAAAATATGTTTCAAATAAAATTGCCAGAGCAGCGCTGACCACACGTGAGTGTGTCCGTACACATGTTTATGCGTTAGAGTGGAAGAGACCACACGATAATGAGATGTTCTTTTCCATAATAACTAATACATTCACCTAGCAATCATCCCCACACCATTACACCACCACCACCAGCCTGCACAGTGGTAACAAACTCTATAATAACTACATGCATTGTACATAATAAAGCGAAATTTTGTGGCAACAAACTTGGAAATAATTGGCTGTTTTTATCCTATTGTTCACTAGGTATATTTATGCCAGAGTCATTGTGGGTTTCGAATCTGTAGTCTGTTAAGACATTTTAAATAACTGAAATCATTTGGCGAAGTGATTTGGAACTGTGATGCGGTCAAAACCTGCCTGGAAGTACTTTAGAACGTTCCATAGAACATTGGTCAACCAATCAGAATCAATTATTCGTAGTATAACTCTAATTTAATGATCCTTATTGAAATTGTAATTTGAGACATCTCTAATTAGGATTATGATTATTACAAAATCCATTATAGATATCTTTAAGTACAATTTTCTGCTAGTTTTCTGCTAGTGCAGGGGTCGGGAACCTATGGCTCGCGAGCCATATATGGCTCTTTTCAGGATTTTATATGGCTCTCCCAATTTTCAAATGCTGACTGAAAAGGTCTCTCAAAAAGTAAAATATTAATAGACAATTTGAGATGCACCATGCAGCACTTGTTAATCACTTGTTTATGATGCCCGTTTCTCAATTTGTGTGGTGTCATAACACCGGACGAGAAGCGTCTCATTAGGACAGAAGTATCGCACACCGGACGAGAAGCGCGCGCCGCGTCTAGGAAAGAGGTAGCCTATTGCACACCGGACGCGCAAGTTTATGGCCGGCAATATTGTAATGTTTAAACTAAAGACATTATGGAATTAAGATAATGTCTGTACTATGTTATAATTGTACTGTACAATTAAATACAATCGTTGAAGTCTGCAGAACACTTTACCTCAGCAATTCTCATTTAAGCAGCTGATTTCTGAAAATGAATGTAAAAGTAAATATAAATTGCAGCACACAGTGAAGTCAGTATGTAGCCTACATTAACGACGGTTTGATACAAATAAAAGTAAATTTTATATAAAACTATGTAAATGGCGCTCTGTGGCAAAGCAGGATTTCGAACAAGGTTCTTCTGAGCCGTTGCTGGGCTCCGCGGACAGACACTGAATGTGCCGCCGGTCACCACTCCTAGGGGCTGTTAACACCTGGCCACTTCATGCGTTTTCTCAGATCGCGATAGCTATCTGATTTATCAAAACGATTCCATTTACACGCTGGTCACATAAATGTGTTTTTGCAAAACGGATATAGGCCTAAATCCGATCTTCAATTCACGCGCTATGCAGATTTAATGAAGTGCGCGTCACCGAAAGCAACAGATATGAGCCGAAATTTGATCTTTGGCTAATTTCAAAAAAAGCAAAGACAGCAATAAAGAGAGCGGCAACAGTCCTGGTAAGATCATTTCTTTTCTTTAGACTACTTTTATGGTAGTGTTAATCGTCTGCATCTTACTTTCACTTTGATTTGCGATGCGGCGCGTTGGCTTGGCGTTCAGCTGCTCATCTGAGGTAATGCGTGTCGCAGTAGCGTCGTCATATCTGACTAAAATAGCATGACATATAGCCTATAATACGCTCTCACACGTTTATTTCTTAGCATTTTTGGGAGGAGTAAAATTTACATATGTGGTTTCAACAACCAGATGCATTTACACATGTCCAGTTTCGTCTGGAATGCGGCCCAGACCACCTCCTGGTTTGAGCGATCGGATTCAAATCCGTCTCAAATGCGTTTCGGGGGGCATTTACACCTGGTCTTTTCACGATCGGATCGCTATCCGATCTCAGAAAACGCTTGAAGTGGCCAGGTGTAAACGGCGGAGTCATAGGGAATAAAGTGTTTGAATTTTAAATGAGGCGCTGCGCTTCTCGTCCAGTGTGCTAAGAAACCAGCATGTCAGTGAACAAAATTTTAGAAATCCCAAGTCTCCCGGAACCATATTGAGTGTCTCCGGTCTCCCTGATGCCCGAAAATTAGTTAAAATCTCCCGGAATAGAGCGACATAGAACATGCTGCTATGTTATGTGCCTCGCGAAAGCTAGTCAGCCCCACCCCACACACATTTTTTTTTTTTTTTGTGGAAAAAAGTGTTGTTGTAACGTTATATAACTACCAGAACTGCTACTAGTGCAAGTCGTATATTACTACTGTTGTTATTATATATTACTGTTGTAAATTTGTCTAATATACGAGTGTAAACTTTGCTCTGGCTCTTTTGAAAAAATTCTCAATTTTGTTTAGTTTTTTTGGCTCTTCTTGGTAAAAAGGTTCCCGACCCCTGTGCTAGTGGAAAGACTTCCAATGACGTCAGTGGGAGAATATGACTTGTCAAAATAACATTGTGCATTACGATTAGTCAAAATCGTAAGATAGAAGGGTGTTCGTTCAATACACTTTATTCATTTCTGTCAAAAGTCATAAAAAGAATGAATGAAGTGTGTGTTTGTGCTGGTGTTTTCCGCTAGAGGACAGTAAAACTACTGAAACTGTGCATTAACAAACAATGAACAAAACTGCATTTGTATTAACTAACTTTACCAAAAATAAAATGAAGTAAGAAATATCTTGTCCAGTGGGAGTTAAAATGTCAACTAATGTTAACAAATGAAACTGTATTGCAAATTTTGTGAATTACAAATATAGTGAATGTAAAAATGAAAAAAAAAAAAAAAGATATGGTCAAAACATCTGATCTGTGCATTAGGACTTGCAGTGTAAACGCAGCCTAAGTGGTTTCTCCACTGCATGGACCTTCATGTGAATCTCCACGTAGCGTTTCAAAGCAAAACTCTTTCCACACTGATCACACGTGTGCGGCTTCTTTCCAGTGTGGATCATCTCATGTGTTTTCAGATGTTGTGACTGACTGAATCTCTTGTCACAGTGTGAACACTTGTAAGGTTTTTCTCCAGTGTGGATCATCTCATGTGTTTTCAGATTTCCTGACTGACTGAATCTTCTGTCGCAGTGTGAACACTTGTAAGGTTTTTCTCCAGTGTGGATCTTCTCATGTGTTTTCAGATGTTGTGACTGACTGAATCTCTTGTCACAGTGTGAACACTTGTAAGGTTTTTCTCCAGTGTGGATCTTCTCATGTGTTTTCAGATGTGTTGACTGATTGAATCTCTTGTCACAGTGTGAACACTTGTAAGATTTTTCTCCAGTGTGGATCATCTCATGTGTTTTCAGATTTCCTGACTGACTGAATCTCCTGTCACAGTGTGAACACTTGTAAGGTTTTTCTCCAGTGTGAATTCTCTGGTGTATGTTTAAATCTTTCCCTGTTGCAAAAGTCTTCTCACACTCAAAGCACATGTACTCTCTCACAGCAGTGTGAATTTTCTGATGTTTATGTAAATATTGCAGATGTGAAAACCTCTTTCCACACACAGAACATGAATGTGGCTTGTCCTTCATATGAACTCTCAGGTGTTTCTTCAGGTTTGATGACCCAATAAATGTTTTGCCACACTGATCACATGAGAACGGCTTCTCTCCGGTGTGGATCATCATGTGAACATTAAGGGAAGATGAATGACTGAAACTCTTTCCACATTGATCACATGAGAACGGCTTCTCTCCGGTGTGGATCCTCATATGAATCTCTAGACTATATTTGGTTGTGAGACTCTTCCCACACTGAGTGCAGGTGAAAGATTTCTTGGCTCTTCTTTTCTTTAAAAATGTCTTTTTAGTCTTTGAACGACTCAAAGTTTTTTCTCCAGGTTGAACATGATGTTCCTCCTCCACTTCACTCAGTTCTTCACTCTCCTCGCTCTCTTCCATCAGGTCTGAAATTAAAGAAAAAATAAGGTGTAATTTTCAGTACATAAAATCAATTCTAAGAGAGGAATATGAAATGAGGATATAAGTAATGTAATAGACAACTGCTATTAAAGGGTTAGTTCACCCAAAAATGAAAATTCTGTCAGTATTTACTCACCCTCATGTTGTTCCAACCCCGTAAGACCTTCGTTCATCTTCGGAACACAAATTAAGATATTTAAGATATTAAGATCGCTCCTGCATACAGTCCATAGGCTTCTTGAGGGACTGGCTCTTGCTGTCCCCGAAAAGTCATTGAAGACATCGTTAAAATAGTCCAAGTGACTACAGGGGCTCAATCTTAAGTTTATCAAACGACGAGAACACTTTTGTGCGCAAAAAAACAACAAAAATAACGACTTTATTTCAACTATTCGTTTATTTCTCCCTCTGCGCGAGTCAGGTTACTAGTTTAATAGCGTAAGCTTCTGTTATTGTACGTCACACGCATCACGCATGACCAGCGTCGGCCAATAGTGAGCCTTCGTGTGACGTAGCTCTACGCAATCACACTACGTTAACTGACTACAGGCTCATGGAGAAGGAAGTGAATAGTTGAAATAAAGTCGTTATTTTTGTTGTTTTTTTGCGCACAAAAGTGTTCTCGTCGTTTGATAAACTTAAGATTGAGCCCCTGTAGTCACTTGGACTATTTTAACGATGTCTTTAATGACTTTTCGAAGCCAGCAAGAGCCAGTCCCTTAAGAAGCCTATGGACTGTATGCAGGAGCGATCTTAATATCTTAAATATCTTAATTTGTGTTCCGAAGATGAACGAAGGTCTTACGGGGTTGGAACAACATGAGGGTGAGTAAATACTGACAGAATTTTCATTTTTGGGTGAACTAACCCTTTAAATATAATGATCACTTTGTTACATTTTGATAAATTATCCCTGAAAGCTAAAACGTAATAAATGAATTCCATGCTCCTGTATTTATTTTACTAAAGACTGTAATACCTGAGGGCCGGTCACACTGGACTGTTTTTGTTCCACTGACTTCCATTCAAACGCAAGATCAAGTGATTTCTTTTTTTTCAAAATTATTATTAGAATTATTGGTAGGGCTTTAGATTCTAAAAAGTTCTAAAATACTTACAGTACAAATCATTTGTTAATCCTCCTGGTTGTTCCCCCTTTATTTCCAAAACCTTACATATTGTTCCCTTATACTTACACGCAAGAACTTTATAGGTACGCTATAATTACAGAAAGTTACGCTGTAAATTCATCATTTAAATTCATCATCTCGGTATATTCCAACATGGCTGCAAAAAAAAAATGTGAAGAATAAACGAAGAATAAACACCAACCTCTTTGTTCTTCAGGATCTTCAGTGTGTTTCATTCTGCAGGGTTCTGGATCACTCAGTCTTTGCAGATTTCAGCTCTTCCTGATGCTCTGATGCTCGTCTTCACTTGAAGCTGGTGGGAATTTACAGCATTTATAGGAGAATTACAGTGGGAGGAGCTTCACTGATAACGTTATTGTTGTGGGAGGAGCTGATCTGCCAAAATCAAAAATATATCAGTTAGTGAGTTTGTTTTTATACTAAATGGCACTTCTAAGCATTTATATCTGTCTGTCTATCATAAAGTAACTGATGCTCATTAAACTCATAACCCTAAAATGATTCTCCTTCATCCAGCGCATGAATTGCTGTGTCACTTTCTTTAAAATCAATCGTGAAGTCTTGGGGATTTGATGCCAGAAAATATACTTTATTATCCAAGTAACAAAGCCAAAAGCAACTCCAGAGTCCAGTCTCGAACATAGTATAGTCTACACCTCAAATGTAAATCACATATCCCAGCGTGAAATAGACAGCCGTAAGTGTTGTATACAACGCATTCTCACCCCAAGGCGTCACCTTTGACCATGCTTCAATATTTGACGTTTTAGGCGCCCTTTAGCGTCACTTATATGACGCGATCCTACGGCGTCATCTAACTGACGCTAAAGGAAAGCGTCTGTTAGAGGACGCGGTTAGGTTTAGGTGTGGGGTGGGGGTAGGGTACACGCGATCCTAGGGCGTCATCTAACTGACGCTAAAGGGCGCCTAAAGCGTCAGATATTGAAGCATGTCCAAATGCTTCCCAAGGCGTCAGTTAGGTGACGCCTTGGGAGTGAGAATGGGCTGTTGTATAATAACCAGCAGGAAAGCTAAAGTTATTGAATGTTTTTTATAGTATAAAATATGCAAAAGCACAATTGATCAAACTAAGTATTTAAACCAGACGTGTGAACTGAATTTGGTTACACTGCAACGTTTAACATTGAAGTTAATGACTATTTATATTGTAGCCTAATGCTTTTTGGGGTTTGGCACTTTGCAGACTTTCCCTTAAGACGTGTCCCTCCGTCGCTCAAAGAGATCATTTGGAAATAGCTGGCATCTGTGTTTGTTTAAACAAAGTTTAGCTCAAAAGATGTTTTTCTGGGAAGTTCAGATCTGTGAATAGACTATATTACCAGCTTTACTGAACTCCATGAACCACACATTGTTATTTAAGGTCTATAGAAATGAGCTTTAAGTGTCAATTCACAGGAGATCTGAAGACATCAGCATAATAAATGAGGTGAAAACAGGAACTATTGTCATGAAATAAAGAGTGTTTTCAGCAGATCTGTTAATATTGATGATCCTCAGACTATCAACACTCATTCAACAAGCCATTCAGGATCATCAGCAGACAGTGTTGGGAGTAACGCATTACAAAAGTAATACATTACAGTAACATATTACTTTTTGCTGTAACGCAGTAGTGTAAGGCATTACTAATCAATTTTCAGTAATATTTTACTCGTTACATGTTCAGTGAGGCTTGTATTACAGTGTATTGTCTGCTTTTACTTCTTAAAGGCAACAGACTATGTGAAAGTTTTAAAGCAGTCTTTTAGTGCCAGTTCAGAGCGGTCGCGTCTGTAACATTGTTTTTTCCTCATAAATGCGAACACGAAAACTAAAATAAAATGAATATTTTAAGTTCTATGGAGACTGGAGAGCCAACCCTTCCTCATCCGATTTGCGCAGTGTAATTAACAGAAGTACAAAAAATATATTTTGCCTCCTATTTTTTTTGTCTTTTCCCTAATATTAAAAATAAAACATAGACTGATATTTGTCTAATGTCTGGAGTCCTTTAAGGAAGTAGCCTATATACTGTACGTTTCAACACATGAATTTTCTGAGAATTTTTATTTCAAGTTTTGACTGCAAATGTAATGTCCATAATGCTGGACTTCCCCAATTTTAAATAATTTATCCTCAACTAGTTTTGTGGTGTAGGTCTAAGTATTTTATAATGTTAACTTCAAATAATACTAATAGCCTAATTTAAAGATAAGGCAGCATTGGATATGGACGGTAAGGAGAATAACGCTGGGAGTTGGAAGAGGTGTGTCACGATTCTGTAGGTTCGTGGATGTGGTGAATCGCGATTTCGGTTTCATATTGCATATCGTTACAGCCCAAAAGTTAAGTTCTACTTAGTTATTTTGGTGAAAGTAACTCAAAAGTAATACATGAGTAATGTAACGCATTACAATTCTGGGACAGTAATATTGTAAGGTAATGAATTACTTTTAAATAACAGTAACAAGTAATACCTAATGTATTACAGTTTGGAAGTAACTTGCACAACACTGTCAGCAGATCATCTCACTTTATTCTGAGTGTTTGCTGTTAGAAACACATTATATTATGCCCAATAAGAAAACTTGATGAAGTTTGATTTTATGAAATACATTCATCACAATAAAGTAATTCGATCATTAAAATGTGCAGAAACTGAAAACAAACTTTTAAATATAAAGAGCACAAGAAACAATATTATTCCAAGTGTAATAGATACAATGTTATTTATGTATGGATTAAAAATGTCTCACGTGACTCATAGCCTCGATGTAAAGTATTTAGCAGTATCTGTTGAACTTTATTTTTTTTAACAATGTAAAGTAACAAACGTAATCCAAATGTGTCAAGAGTATAAAATGGAAACTGACCATTAGAGTTTAAACAGCCCTAATGCGAAACAATGACAGCAGCAGTACCATCCGTACTAGACGTGTCACACAAAACATAAAAATTAATAAACCGAACTTAAAAAAAAGACAAGAGGAAGAAGGGTTACATGTTAAAAACAAGTAACAACCTTCAAACGAAGTAAGTCATACTGACCTACCTCTAGAGCTGATAAGTCCCGCCCCTTCCACTAACCCCGTTGGACCTCTAGGTTGAAAAATCGTCAAATGCAAGTGAAGGAGAGA